AAAGCCGAGTCATTGGCTTCTAACAGTTGCCGTAGCCACTGAGTGCACCTACGTTTGTTGTAGATTCCGCGTAAAACGGAAAATGCTATCAAGAAGTCGTTCGTCATGGCGCTAACAACATGTACATTCTGGCCACGACTATTGGGAACAGTACACTGGGCTATACTACCCCGTCGCGAACGACCTCTGGTGCGCGCGCAAAAAAGGTTGAAGTTTGTCTCATCGATCCACACGGGTTGCCGCCCCTCGGCCTGATAATGCAGGAGCCGCAAGACAAACAATTTCCGCTCTTATTCTCCAACGTGTTCATGGACTCTGGAATCGCTTGCAACTTCTTTGTTATTAGTCGACTGTCTAGGTATCTGGCGACGGTACTGGCGCTGATCTCACCCTCGAACTCTGCCTTTAAATGCAAACGAGGATTTGCGAGCGTTCCTGTAGGTTCTTCAGTCATCCACTCAACCAGAGAATCGACGTGGCTTTCAGTTAGAGCTCTGCGACGGACATCACTGTGTTGTCCTCTGGGCTTCGTTGCTTCCAAAAACTGTATTCAGCTACGGCAAATGTTAATGTGCATATTCAGCAAACTTGCAACCTGTTTCCAATCGCCTCCTTCCTCATACACCTCATGCACCTATACGACTACGCGCAACAACGGCCGATGCCAACACCACGAACTTGAGAGGGTAACAAACGATTTCGCTTCGTGATCAAACGAATTTAATTGAACGATTCACGACAATAGCCGCAAAGAAGAGAGGGGGTTTTCTCTCAAATCTTCCCAAGAGGAATAACCATTTGGAGCTGCTGGACATCAGTCTGTCGACTGCAGTAAATCAAAGACCCAATCGTTAGGATCCACATCATATTCGTGCTGAAAGCATTTCGCGCAGTGCCCAATATGACTCAAAGATAGAATCCCGATTCAACACACTTCTCATGTTTAAATCGAGTGCAGTTTGAACGCACGACCAACATTTTCTGAAACGGACCGTTCTGCCTTATTGCAATGTGGTATTACAGAGAAAGTTCCATTATGGAACCCATGGTTGCCTTCGGACATTACATTTGTACACACTGAAAGTGACTTGAAAATTCCCATTAAAGTCTCTAGAACAAAAGACCATCTGGTGAGCAATTGCTTTCAATGATTCATCATCAGACCATTACAATCATATAGAGGCTAGAAGGAGAAATCGACCCAGTTAGTTCAAAACGAATTGATCACGTGAAGGTCAATGTCAGAGTAGAGAAAACGAATTAGGTCTTAGAGGGCTAGCTGTTTGCTACCGCGTCTGACCGAAGGCAGTCGACCTGGGCGTCTTCCATCTTCGCTGGCCAGGGAAGCTGGAGAGCCTGGACCAGCTTCTTCTGTGAGCATAAGGACGGCTGGAACAATCGAATGCATATTGCTTCAGCTGTCGCAAGCGTACGAAGGCGATAACCTTTCGTTCGGTGCGGCGAAACCTTGTAAACTATTCGGAAAGCGCGTTTCCAATCCACTTCATGGCCGGTGTCCACAATGTGGGTCAGAATGGCGCTACTAATGGTCCCGGTGCCCCCTTGACGCAGCCAACGAAGATGGAAGACGCTCAGGTCGACTGCCTTCGATCAGACGCGGCAGCAAACAACTAGCTCTTTAAGACCTAATTCGTTTTCTCCACTCTGACATTGACCTTCACGTGATCAAGTCATTTTGAACTAACTGGGTCGATTTCTCATTCTAGCCTCTATGTGATTGTAATGGTCTGATGATGAATCATTGAAAGCAATTGCTCACCAGATGGTCTTTTGTTCTAGACATTGAAAGTGATCGAGGTCCTTGTAATCGAGCAATTATATTCGGAACTCTGTAGAAGACCCTCGTGTAAGAACTCATTTTATTAGGACCATGACTTTAATCACGTGACTGGCTTGCGGCTAAAGTTAAATTGCACACCGATTGATAACGTGCCTGACAAAGTTCTAGTATTCTCTATTACGTTGGTCAACGCGACCAGTTGGATCCATACAAAGCTAGAAATAGCCACCAACTGCATAGGTCCACTGAAATGTACAAAAACGTTTTGGTAAGCAATTGGCTTTTGAGGGGCATAATTAGGGAAGTAAAAGAGAAAAGCTATTTAATGACAATAGTCATCTCCTCTTTTAGAGTGTGAATTTGTTGATACACGATATTTTGTGGTCGCAGTAAATGACGAACCCGACTGAACACGAGGTCCGACCAACGGACAACGGAATCGTGAAAGGTGAACTGATGCTAGGAAAGTGCCGCTAAGCAGTTATGTGCATACCATGCGGTGACCAATAAAAATGAGGGATCGCTATCTTCAACGTGTGGCCTAGTGAGATGTGTTTCACCACGTACACGGGAAAATGTTGCTCCGGTGATGTGAGTAACATTCTCATCACACCAACATAAAAGCACACTGGTCAAACACAACACTACTGATCGAACCGGAGACGGAACTTGGTAAGAGCACTCACCCAGTAAGCTTTGGGGCCGTTTTAAGATTGACACGGTGGCCGAAATGAGCCATCGTCGCTCGGTCAGGCACACCACCATGACGTGCAGACCGAATGGTTGTTTCCCGATTTCCCATCGCAAGTGTTGTGTGGGTGGGGCTAGAGATGCTTTTACAGGCCGAGTTGCAACATCAAACCGTTGGCTTAGCCCACGAAAAGGTGTTACAGATATACACCACAATACACGATGCGTACGTATGGGGAAAGCTGCGGCAGTCGCCGTCGCCACATTCGGAGGAAGCACGCGGTGCACACACGCACACACACAGACACCGTGGTTAATACAACACCTAGAGATGAGAAGTGTTGAGTATTTCGTGGCGTAGAAGAGGATCGTGAGGGAGTGGGCAGCGTGAATGGAGTGCGATAAACAGCGCTGCGCAACGAGACTACAGCATCTAAAAGTAATGAATAGGCGATGGTTATCTGAGATCAACAATAGGGGCACCAATTTTCCTGAGTTTAAGACTGGATGTGGAGTTAAATTAGTCAAAACAAAAAAGGCTTGGGGGATTTGGCACATGGAAAGCAACATACAATATAGACTACACCCTGGGGAAGGATGACCAAACAAGCGGAACGCACCATGATACGGCGGCAATAGGCTACTTTAAACCAATGAGGCTAAAATGAAAGAGGGCAATCACAATAAATGAATAAATAAACAAATAAATAAATATTATTTGATTCTCGACAAAAAGAGGCACGTCTTTTGGGCATGATCAGCATTATGTAGAGAAAAGCCGACAAATTAAAGCATGATAGCACTACGATAGGAAATCAGTAAAGCATACCACCACCACCTGCATCTGGGATCCCAGCCAACGAGAGAGAGAGGGTCACACTGACATCAACTATCCGAGTCGGGTTGTGAAGACTGTTATGGGAGGTGGTGTGTGTGCACGCGTGTGCGTACAGCTGATTAGCATGAGTTGAGTCAGCTGATCAGCGAGCACAATGATGATGGCGTACGAGTGCACACACACAAGCACGCACTCAGCGCACAGCAAGCGAATGCGCCGAAAGTATGCGCCATCGGAATGTGGTGAGCGTTGCCATCGGGACTCCAGCGATGTGGCGAGGCTGTGTGCGCATTGACTTCGCCGTTCGCTCGCCCACTCGTCTGCTTGCCCAACGGAAGGCAGCTGAACAGGGGAAGAGGTGATTGGCTGTCTCGAACACACGAGTGGTGCTGCACACACGTACGCCAATGAGATCGCGGCGATGCCGATGAGTTAGGTAATCGTTTACACAACACATTCAATGAGAATGGTGCATAGTGAAGGTCGAGCAGTGAACACGTCTGCGCATACGTTGAGTGCATTTGAGTAATTCGACTCGAATGGAATTAGGCACGGGGCACGCACAATTGGAGCTGCCAAGACGAAACGATCGATGGTTTAAGATAACACGCGCCTTGTTTTGCACATGGAAACAATGGTCTCGTGACAGGCGCCACAGTTCAGGAAATGCAACGAAGGCGCTTAAGGAGTGTGTCGAGTAAGTGTTGAGCAGAAATGAGGAGGTGAACGGGCACAAAGGAAGGGGGCAAGACGGCAACCGATATCAGATACACGTGATTAAGTTGTCAGGACAACGAACAGACGGAATGAAATGCAGCTTAGTAGATTAATACAGGCGCGAGTAGAACCAGTATAGCAGTCCAGATGAGAAAAAACTTGAGTTGTGTCCACACCCAGCAAGAGCCGAAGGCACAGAAAGCTGGACTGCCCCCGTCATCCAGTTATTTAGACGAATTAAATATACGGATCCCGATGTGGAGGGGTTTCGATGTTGATCCTCGCAACACTGACACTACATAATCGGCTTCGTCTTCGTTTGGACTCATCAGGTTGTGACAGCCTGAGCTGGGGTGGAACTAGGGACCTAGTGGTTCAAGGCTGACTCCTTGATCATTGGGTCACTGAGATCCGTGAGCCACGCTTCGTAGAGCACTGGGATTACGCCGTGTTGGTAATTTGGTACAGATGTGTGAAAATGGTGAGCAGGGTTTACGTTTCAAAAGCGCTGGACAAGCGGTAAACTTATGGACGGGAACAGAGAGCAGGAATTCGTTCACTGATAGAGCCCTACTTGAAGTGGCACTCCGCTGGTTGGAATAATTGCAACCTTCTCTAAACCTATTCGGAACAGTGGATCGATCATTTACAGGTAACCTCTACACTATGCCTAAACAGCAAGGCACCGAGGTCAGATAGGGAAAAAACGAAACATTTAAAAAGGTGTCATAATCGAGGAAGTATAGAATAGAAAGAGAAACGGGTTTTCAGAGGCGTCGCAAATATGGAAAAAGGTACCAACGGCAGCGACTCGAAAAGAGGTGCAAAATCATCAACAACTAAATTAGACGAGGTTTACTTGTGTACTGAGCGACACTGTAACAAGTGTAAAAGAAACTGCTACGCAATACAGAGACATCAGCACATGTCGATTAAGAAACAAAGGGAACTAACCTTAACTGCTCCATCGACGGAACGCAACAAGGTTCGGCAGCTCGATACAAATCGGACTCGTTTGGCTCTGAAGTGTCATCTTCTACAATAGCGGCATACCGCACTGCGGTCCGGAGGACATCAGAAGAGGCAACCACGGTGGGACTATCGGAATGTTCCGAGGCTTGTTTCAGTTCAGGCAGCCTAACCGATTCGGACTCAAGAGAATCGGAGGACCCGAATTCTTTTCCGCTCGTCTCTTCAAGATCATCTTCTGTACTCCTGTCATCATGAGTCTCTTCAGAGTACTTCGGGGTTTTGGCTAATGTTACGTTCAACGCGGATTCAGAGGTAAACAGTCTATTGGTGTCATCACCTAAAAGGTAAGAGGTACAATGTATTTGAGGCGAGGAGGGAGGAGAACACGAGTTTCACAGAACAACAATTATTCGTCGCTGCCGTTTTCTTCCGACTGCATTACATCCTGACAAGGGAGTAGGGACATTCGCGAGACAAACTGGTGAACAGTTATTGTGCTTATGTGCATGTCATGCGTTCTGATTAGAGTTAGGTGTCAAAACAATGCGGTGTCGAAAGAAGACGGATTTGGGCACAGACCAGAGTGGTTTAACATTGCGGACGATATAAAAGCATACACAAGTTAGGTATGCAAGTTAAGCAAAACGTACCTGAGGCGGGACAAAAACTTTCGTGATTTGATTCTTCAGTAGGACGGCGGTGTTCATCGGAAGCCTTCGATTGTACTTCACTAATAGTGAGCTCATCCTCCGGTTCAGTGGCAGCAGCTGAAGCACTAGCTGCAGAAGTAGCCGCTGTCAAGTCATCCGCTTCGGTTACTGAGTGAACACTGATACCAGCATCGGTGCAGGTTGAGTCAACACGGGACGGGGTATTGACCGGTGTCGGAGAGCTATGGAATGTAGAGAAGGACTCATGTCAGTAGAAGTGAAAAAGGAAACGAGACAGCAAGTGACCTGTGAGAGTCAATCGCTAGTAGTGACCTACGGAACAGAGCAGCTTCACAATGAATAGAATGCAAACAGTGAGAGTCTGTGGTAGCTGGTTCAAATACAAATCACGGCCTCTCAAAGATGCCACAGTACAGTAAATTGATGAAACACGTAGTATAGCAAGACAGCTGCAAACGTCAATGGAAGTCACACACTTTTGCGGTGTGAAGTTCACCAGCAAGGCTTAAGATCTTGTGTGATTTTTGAACTGTGGAAGTGCGGTTGATTCGATAGCAGTCTTGGCTACATATCCATGATAACAGTGAAAAATACGGAGGGTTGAAAGGAGAAAGGAAGACGCTGAGAAGCGTTCGAATTGTTCTGGAGAGGGAATAACAGAAAGATCGCATGAGCGCTAGTGACGACCTACCAGCGCACAAGAGTAGGTAGCCCTCAGACACTGACAAGGACATCAGCGGTACCTGACAACATCATATTGACGCTACGCGGCCACGCAAACGATACCAGTCGTATGCGGAATACGGATACTGCTAGGTGGCAGGCGCATACACAGATTTGGACCGATGACTTATGGAATACAAGGTAGACTCCTTATTCAAATGGCCAACGGTCGGTGCGGTTTACCTCGTGGTTACATTCAGGTCGACAAAAATAAGAGCGATTCAAGTTTGTGGCCAGTTGTCTTATGTGTTTTTTTGCAACAATGATGCTTCAGCCAATCAAAGACATTCTCAAAAAACAACACATGCTGCAGCATCTGACTAACAGGTCCAAGTTGTGATGTAACCAGCCACTAAAGATGTAGACCAGTAGGGAGCTCGGCCTATGGGGGCCGAACGAAGTAAGCGAGCAATCTGTTGGCGCCATTCACTGGTAAGCTTCATCAGAATGTAAAACCGGATGGGCTAATTGCCAGGATCGACGTTTGATGACACCTGTCAAGACTGATCGAAGTTGTCACTTGACGATTTTGATGGTCACTGCAAAAAGGTATGAAACAAACGAAAACTGGTTGGGCGAAGGGAATGCTTTACACATTATTTCACGTAGTATAACAACGGCCAAATTGGCATGGATGTGGAAGGCCCGTACTCGTTTGCCTAGTAACTGGGTAACGACCGATGCTTCAGCACAGAGGCGATGAGACATCCCATCTACTAGTGCGACCAGTAACGAGTGAGAAGGGTATTAGAAGCTGACGACTAGCTCCGAGTGGTTAAGCAAACCTCTCAGGCACTACATTATAGGCAGGCTACAGAGTACTAAGGTGCCGTGTGATGGAGAACGACGACGACATGGTTGAGTCCAGATCCAAGAGATCAATAATCCGGTGAAACAACCGTTGTGCTGCATGGACACTGGAATGCACAGTTCGCGCAAAAATTCCATCCACAGAGAGTATCGATGCGGAATGAACTGCGATACTAATCAATTGTTTACTCAAAGGTCAATGGGGTTGAAATATGCAAATCAAAAGGCACAAGCGATCCGCTCGCGAAATCATTAGCTGACGAGCGGAGTAGAAAATATGCAACCAAAATGGAAAAACGTGTCGTGTTAGCTGCTGCTCATGCGGAACTCACAGTGGGTCGCACGACAAGACGCCTATCTCAGAGGATTCGTGAACACATCCCGGCATGGCTTTACAAAGGCGAAATGAGGTCTTCAGACAGCTCAATCATGTTGCACCTCCTTGAATGTGGCCACACAGCTT